TTTTTTTTTTTTTTATTTTAGATTCGTATTTTTATTGGAAAAATAAAGGAAAGTTGAAAAAATATTCATGCCAACATTCTAATGATATTTATTATTAGTGGTAGCCGGTCAAAGGATCGAAATTTTATTTTAATTTATTTTATTTTTGTTTTCAGATAACAAACCAAAATCAAATTGAATATTTTGCAGGACAATTAAAAATCCGAAGTTCGGGTCGAATAAAGGAACCAAAAATAAATAAAAAATAAAAAATAAAACTACTTTAGTCCTACTTAGTTAGAAATGATAATATCATAAGACAACAAAAAGAAAAAGAAAAAAGTTGGACAAAATGTGCGGTAAATTGAACTTTATGGATGATCAATCACAGGCCGTGCACTCAGGTACAATCATCTAGCAAGTATAGGGAGATGCTATAATCTCGTTACGGAATCATTTCACCAGAATTTGTAACCGTTAGATCAACTATTCCAGACGATTACATGATGATTTAACGGTTACAAATCTCGACGGAATAGTACAACAAATTCACGACTGGTTATTTTCATTTAAAAAAAAAACGCGTAAACTAAATCACATCAGATTCAAAACGTAAACATATACTACCTTCGATGATTAATTGTTATTATTAATATTATTATTCATTGAAAATGAATATTTTCAATGCAGACGTGGCAAAACAAAGAATGGTAATTTCATTTGGCCAGAGCTGCAATGGGTGCCATTTGCCTGGCCGCATGCTAACAGATATAACTGCAAGCTGGCCTTCAACGTAATCTTGAACCCCTCACCACCACCATCTTTGGTGCTCCCCAACACCTTTGCCCCCGTCACGTCGCACTTCTCGTAGCTCTCCAAATCCCGCATTTGAACCACGTCGTGGTCATCGTTATATTTGAACACTACACGATTTATATAACATCATCAATTTCCAATATCGTGATATTTGTTATTCATTAATTTAATCGGTACGTACCCAAGACGTCCCCCTCAAAGTAGGGCCCGTTACAAAAAGCCCACATTGTGTAGTTAGTAGCATTGAATTCCCAGTTGTTGGATCCACCGACCACGATGGTTCTCGGGTGGCTAGCATTTCGGCTCGGGCTCGGGCACGAGCACCCCTTGTTTGCACTAACAATCGTGAAAGTCGAAGAAGTCACAACCAGGACAGCGAGGACCTTCCACGACACGTAAAATTTGTTATTCATTTCCTTTCGCCTTTCTCTTTTTTCGTCTTCGTTTGCTGCAAATTAAGTGACGAAAGCGAAAAACGAAAATCTGAGTGTGAATATTATGCTGAGTAATTATGTAGATTTGATTTGATGGTCTATGGGAGATTAGAAGGTTTATATAGCATGCTATTTAAGCATAGCTAACCTCAATTGGTCTGTGGGAGATTAGAGGGAGAGCTTTGCCGTCCTTGTGGTCCTACCCGGCTCGATTCCGGATTAGTCGGTTCCCTTGTGGATCCGGAAACCGGAAGGTCCCTGTACCAAAAAAAATATTACTTAAAAATATTATTTTTTTTTTCTTAGGTAATTGGAGCTTCTAATTCTGTTTGACTGAAAAGTGTGAAAGCATGCTCAGTTTTGA